CGGCGGCGGAAGCGGCGGCGGGGACGGGCCGGGCTGGGACGGGCGGAGCGTCCTGAGGCTCCCGAGGCTCCCGCCGCCCCCGCTCCAGGTCCCGCCGCCCGCACACCGGCTCCCCGCCGCCACCGGGCCAGGCACCGGCACCATGTCGGTGGCGGGGCTGAAGAAGCAGTTCTACAAAGCGACCCAGGTGAGACACCGGCACCCCGCGCCCGTTCCCGCCGCCGTTGGGCTCCGGGGGAGGCCGCTCTTCCATTAGCGGTTCGGAGAAGCCGTCCCGGCCGCTGCTGGCCGGCGGTGCCCGCTCCCCGCCGTTCTCCCCTCCCGCCATCCCGGTGCCGGGCCCGCCGGGCACCTCCGGGTACCCCCGGTGTCCAGCCTGGCACCGCCGCTGTCCCGGGCTCGTATCGCCCGCTTCTCAGCGTGCCTCCCGGTGATCCCGGCGCTCGGTGCGGGCCGGGAGCGGAGCTGGCAGCGGTGGGGGGGGCCGGTGTGGGGGATCCGTTCTCCCGGTGTGACCGCGGAGGGGACACGGGCAGGGAAGGGAGCGGGGCCGGTGACACCGGGGGGCGTCCCGGGGGTGCTTCCCCCTTCCCCAGAGCGGGGCGGATCCAGCCCTGAACCGGCCGGGAGAGGCGGAGGAAGCCCCGGGAGCGGCGGCCCCGGTAACGCCGGCGGCGGCTGCAGCCGGGCTCGGGAGCTGCCGGTCCCGCAGAGCGGCTGGAGCGGGGCTGGGAGCGGGGCTGGGAACGGGGCTGGGAACGGGGCTGGGGGAAGCTCCGGAGCTCCAGCCAGGAGCGAGGAGTTCGTGCCGCGTCCTTGGAGCTCTCCCCCCATTCCCAGCCCTGGAGGAGCCGGGGCCGGGCAGGAGCAGCCTGGGACTGCGAGGGCATTGCCGTGAGCCCCTCACGGTCCCCGGTGGGAACGGGCCCCGGGCAGGGCTCAGAAACGCCTTCTGCTCTCCCTCACAATGGGGCTGGCCTTTCCCGATCCCCCCCGAGCAGAATTCCCCTTCCCACCGCTTCCCGTTAACAGCTGTGAGCTTTTGGAAATGCACTTTGGGAAGGGTTCAGGAATCGCAGATCCCCCTCTGCCGCTGCTTTCCTGCCCCTGCTTTGGATTCCGGGTAAATTTGGCACGGATCGTGGTTTCCATCCCCGAGTTTGAGCCCTTTCAGCTCGTCCCACCCCTGTGTGTGACCCCTTCTTCCCCGGCTCTCTTTCCCCAAATCCATTTCATTTAGCCAGCAAAGCAAAAGAACAAATTCCTGAAGTCATCCTCCACCCCCTTTCCCACTAACCCCACGGTGGGCTGGTTTTTTTGGTGTTTTTTCACAACTTCCATGGGGAAGGGTCGTGCTGGGGGCTCGGTGTGGGGGGATTTTGCTGGCCTGGTGGTGTCAGGAGGTGAAAACCCCTCGGTGACTCAGGACTAACGTGTTCCTAAGCCCAAAAATATCATTTTAAACCCCAGATGAAGGCGCTTTTTGGAGGAATTACAGATTATTCCAGAGTGCTGCCTCCCCTTGCAGTGCTCCAGGGACAGAGGTGTCCATGACTTTGAGATGCTCTGACTGAAACTGGGAGGCTCTGGTTCCAGTTTGGCCATTTTTTTGTCTCCTCCTCCCTTCGTTCCCTTTTCCCCCTTTCTCCCCTTTCCCCCCTCTGGTCCCACTCAGCCCTTGGCTGAAGGAGAGGAGGATTAGTTATTTTTTGGCTCCCTTCAAACCATCAGAAGCTGCCAAAGCCCAACATGTGGAAGATCTTTCCTAAAATGTTACGTTTTGTTCCACGTCTGTCCCTAATTGAAGGCAAGCAGAGCCAGGAGCGGGGTCTGCAGGGACCCCAGAGGGTTTGGGATCCCTGTCCAGGCTCCAGGGGGAGCAGGGCTTGGCTCCTGGGCCTCATCCATGTGATTCCTCCAAGCCCACGTCTCCCCTGGGTGAGGCAGCCGGGCGCCCACACGCAGGAGAGAGCCTGGAGTATCCTGGAAAAAAAATAAAATAAATAAATCTGAGTCGTGCTGGCAAATGCTGCAGATGGGGAGCAGCTCTGAGTGTGTCCAGAACAGGTTCTGCCTGTTCACAGCAAACTGTTCTCTAAAAAAATAAAGAAAGCTGGAGAAAACATCCTGAGGAAGGGGGAGAAGCAGCAGCAGCTTGGAGCTGGGAACAGGGTGGGAAGTCCCTGCCTGGCTGCTCCAAGGTTTCATCCAGCCTGGAATTCACAGGGGCCTTCTGCTGCAGAAACAGCTTCCTTTGCACCCTTTGGGCTTTGTACAAACTGATGGCAATCCTAAAATCCTGCAGATCCTCCCAGGCAGTGGGCAGGCCAGGCTGCTGCTCCTGGGGAATCCAGAGGGATGGGAGCAGCAGCAGGGCCGAGGGATCCCAGATCCTGCCTGGCTCAGCTGGCAGCAGCAGGAGCTCTGTGGGGACAGGGGAGTGCAGGATGGGGAGTGCAGGATGGGAGTGCAGGATGGGAGTGCAGGATTGGGGAGTGCAGGATTGGGGATGCAGGATTGGGAGTGCAGGATTGGGGGATGCAGGATTGGGGGATGCAGGATTGGGGATGCAGGATTGGGGATGCAGGATTGGGGAGTGCAGGATGGGGATGCAGGATTGGGAATGCAGGATGGGGAGTGCAGGATGGGGAGTGCAGGATGGGGGGTGCAGGATGGGGAGTGCAGGATTGGGGTTGCAGGATGGGGAATGCAGGAGAGCGGGGCTGGGATGGGTTTGTGCTGCCCAGGGCACAGCCCAGCTCTGGGGGGGGCAGGATGGGGGGTGCAGGATGGGGAGTGCAGGATGGTGAATGCAGGATGGTGAATGCAGGATGGGGATGCAGGATGGGGATGCAGGATGGGGGGTGCAGGATGGGTTTGTGCTGCCCTGGGCACAGCCCAGCTCTGGGGGGTGCAGGATGGGGATGCAGGATGGGGAATGCAGGATGGGGGATGCAGGATGGGGAGTGCAGGATGGGGGAGTGCAGGATGGGGGAGTGCAGGATGGGGGAGTGCAGGATGGGGGATGCAGGATTGGGGAATGCAGGATTGGGGAGTGCAGGATGGGGAATGCAGGATTGGGGAATGCAGGATGGGAATGCAGGATTGGGATGCAGGATGGGGGGTGCAGGATGGGTTTGTGCTGCCCTGGGCACAGCCCAGCTCTGGGGGGAGCACTGGCATTGCCAGCACAGCTGCTGGGGGTGCTGCCCCTGCTCCACGGCAGGGTTTGGGATGGAGAGAGCTCAGAGCTCATCTCCTTGCACTCGTGGCAGTGCCCGAGGCCGGGTGGGACAGGGCTTGGAGCAGCCTGGCACAGTGGCAGGGCTGGGGCAGGGTGGGATTCAGGTTCCTTCCACCCCCAGCCAGTCTGGGGTTCAGCCCAGACTGGATTAACGTGCTCCCAACGCCTGTGTGAGCTGAGCCTAAACCCTGCCAGGCCTGCCTGGGCCCAGGCACAGCCCAGCCTCCTCCTCCTCCTCATCCAGAGCCATTTTCCAGGAGGGGAAAAGGCGAGTGCTAATTAAATCTCAGCAGCCCTTGACACACACACACATTTCCCTGCGCTCGATGACAGCTCCCAGGGCTTCCAGGGGTATTTTTGGCCATAAACAGCCCCTTGCTCCCTGCCTGGCCAGGGATGTGCTCCAGAGCCCAGCAGGACCTGCCCTTCCCGAGCTCCCTGGGCCAGCAGGGAAAGCTTTGCCTGCCCTGGCAGCTCCCTCCAGGTGCTGCTGTGAGCTGAGCAGGGCAATGTGCTCCCAGAGCGTGTGTGACACTGAGGGACAGGGTGCAGCTGGCAGCAAGGGCATTTCCCCTTATTTTTGGCCTTTGTGGTCATTGCTGGTGGTGCTGCTGAACTGGGATTTCCTTCACTTCTCCCTGGGTTTCCTCACTTTCTTCCCTCCTCAGCCCGGGTTCTCTCTGTGCTGATTGTGTGCTCTGCTTTCACACGTGGGATTTTTCTTCCCTTTCCCAGGTGAACCTTTCAAAAGCTCCTTTTTTTTTGTTGTTCATTTTGGAGTTTTTCTGATACTAACTCATCCCTGCTCCCACTGGCCTCTCCAGGCTTTCTCTGGGAGGCAGGAGGTGTCTTTGGGGTGGTTTGTGTTGGAAGGGACCTTAAAGCTCGTCCCATTCCGTGGGCAGGGACATCTTGCACTGTCCCAGACTGCTCCAGGCCTTGGACACTTCCAGGGATGGGGCAGCATCTCTGGGAGCTGTGCCAGGGCCCCAGCTCCCTGTGAGCAGAGAGGGGAGCAGGGAGTTCCTGTGGGAGGGATTTGGCAGCATCAACCTCTAAGCTCCTTATCTGTACGTGGGAATTTGGACTGGGAAGTCAGGGGATTTTGCTGATTCCTGCCAGCCTGGAGCCTCCTGCCAACCTCTGTCCCACAGCACCTGATGTTTCTGTATTAACATTAACCTGGGCTGGATTCCCCTGCGGCTCCTGGGTTTATCTTTCCACATTAATCTGCTCCCGAGGCTGGGGGAAAGCTGGATTTGCTGGGGTGCCATCCTCCAGCTCTGCTTCCATCCCAGAGCGTCCTGCCCTGGCTCCCTGCAGCTGTGCTGGCAGCGGGCAGGGCTGCTCTGGTGTTGTGTTTGCACATCCACAGGGAAAAGGAGGCTCAGGGCAGACCTCGTTCCTCTCCACAGCTCCCTGGAAGGGGACAGGGCTCAGTGTGCCAGGGAACGAGTGACAGCAGGGAGGAAACGGCCTCACTGAGGCTGAAATTTGATATTAATGCAAATTTTTCCATGGAAAAGGTTGTCAGGCGTTGGAACAGGCTGCCCAGGGCAGTGGGGGAGTGCCCATCCCTGAAGTGTTCAGAAGCCATGTGGATGTGGCCCTTGGGGACACAGTGGTGAACCTGGTGCTGGGCTGGACTCCAAGCCCTTTTCCAACCTTTCCCATTCCAAGGTTCCACGTGTGGCAGGTGGAAAGCAGAGGCTGAGTGTCCCCAAACCTCTTGGAGACAGGGATGAGGTGCCAGTGCATCCCCTCAGGGCTGCCTGATGCTGACTGGACACTCCCAGAGGTGCCTGTGCCACATCCAGGGGAAAACCAGCAGCCAGGATGTTTTCCTGTGGATTCCCTCTCCTTTTCCTGGGTGATTTGCATCAAAACCCTGTCCCTGCCCTGGCTGGTCAATCATTGTTGGAGCTGAGCAGCCCCAGAACCAA